ATATCGCATGCCGTTCTGACACAAAATATGGCGTCCATCGAATCACCTTAATAAAGGGTGAGAGGTATATTCGGCCCCAGATAAGTTCCGCTTGACCCGGGTTCCGTTCCGGCTCCCCCGGAACGAAACCCGGGCCTTTTCGCCGCGACGTGCAAGACACAACAATGACGCCCAACCCAACGGCCACAGGCCAGCGTCGGCGGGAGTTCGACCGGCAGACGGTGCCACTCGACGGCAGGTCTGGCCAGGATGGATGGTGCTTATGAAAAAAATGGCCACCCGGGTTCCCACCATGCAGAGCGCTCGCTGCATCAACAGGTTTCACGAGCACACTCCCGTCAAAATGAAGTCATCGCTGACCACATAATGGTGGGAGTTTCTGATCGTAACCGGGTGGTGCAACGAGAGCCAGGTGAGGCCTAGCGGTTTGTCAGACCGTCGGATGGACAGTATAAGTCGAACGATCACTCGAAAGCTTTTTCCGGGGAAAAAGCGATCGACAAATCCTTCGACCGACTGCTCACCCGACTGTCCAACAAGCCACAAGCTCTCACCGTTTGTTTGACTGTTAGATGAACAGTATAGGTCGAACGATCTCTCGAAAGCTTTTTCCGGGGAAAAAGCGATCGACAAATCGTTCAACCGACTGCCCACCCGACCGTCAAAGAAACCACATGCACTCACAGTTTGTCAAACCGTCAGATGAGCAGTACGCCGAACGACCTCTCGAAAGCCTTTTCCGGGGAAAAAGCCATCGACGGATCGCTCGGCGAACTGCCCACCCGACCGTTTGACAAACCACATGCACTCACAATTTGTCAGACCGTCAGATGAACAGGATAGATCGAACGATCTCTCGAAAGCTTTTTCCGGGGAAAAAACGATCGACAAATCGTTCGACCGACTGCCCACCCGACCGTCAAACAAACCACATACACTCACCCTCAGTCCCGATTCCCCACCCTGATATTTCCATCCGTTTTCCCACAAACCCCCTCCTAAGACAACATCCACGCGGGACAAATGATCATTCACCCACTCAAGATTTTGTCATTTGAAATAAAATTAAAAGATGGAAAACACATGAAGTTCTAACATATGATGGGGATTTGCGTTTCACGTACTTCAACTTCCTCACGTGAAAAATTTCGTGCGAAACACGACGATGCCACTGGTTTTCTCTGAGATCAAATCGTAAGCTCAGAATAAGCTCTGAAAGTTCAGACCGTAATAGAGGGGATATCCCACGCTACGTTGCGAGTCCATCACGATATCTAGTCAAACTCTCCATGCACACAAAGGGAGAAAATATATTAGCAGGGTATGGACTGACTTACGAGTCCCCAAACAATGTGGCAACCCTGCTGAAGTATTTTTCCCCTATCTGTGCATAGAGAGTTTGACTAGATACAGAGGTGGACTCTCAACATTTCGTGGGACATCCCTTTCATTACGGCCTGAACTTAGAGAGCTATTTGAGAGCTTGGGAATTGATGCCAGAGAAAACCGCTGGCACCATCATGTTTCTCGCGAAATTTTAGGTGAGAACATGTACATAAATCGCAAATCCCTAACACATCCAATCACTCTAGTTGATCAATTAATTCAAAGGTATTTTTTTTTAAAAAATAGTCTAAAGATAAGAAAATAAGATAAGATAAGAACAGAACAGAAAAGGGGGAAAAAATAAGTCAAGAAGTGTTACGTAAAGAAGGGATATAGATAGAATTTAGTATGGGGGGGAAAAAAAGGTTTTAAGAGACAGGAGAGAGACCTGAAAGTCTAAATACTGTGCCTACCTACAAAAATGCATGATTAAAATGGTCCATGCAACTTCCCTGATGCATTGAGACGAGTTAGACCTCATTTTGTAATTAGGAACTACAATTTCAGGCTCATTCATAAAAGCACCTACCAGCATACGGAACCTCATGGCATAAATGATGTTTTTACATGGGCAGGAAATGGTAGTTCCTTATTGCAGAATGAAGTCTAATTCGCAAGCAATCGTCAGGAAAAAGGGGGGGGGTATAGTATTAAAAATCGGGACGGTGCCATCTCATGGTTGAAAAGCAGAGTTTGTAAAAAATTATTTGGAAATAATTTGGTCAATCAGCAACGTCCGATCAATCGCCAAGTGGACGAATAATTTGACGGATCTATCTCATCAGGTAGGGAATTCTGAGAACCGAGCGTCCAGTCAGAGTTGCCGCATCAAATTCAGTAATCGCCGAATTATTCGTGCCTAACTGATGAATAGAAATTAGGAAGAGGAAAGGTGGAGGGGGAGGGGGAAGGAGTGAGACTTTAACGCTTCTTATCTGACTCTGCGGAGACAGGAAGGCAGGTTTAGAGGGAAAAACAACGTGTCATCTGCAAACTACGGCGAACGAGCGATTCGACTAGGAGGGGAGAGAGCCTGAATGTCTGAATCTGCTAGCTGAAATCTTCGGAGCCCGGCAGAATTCTTGGAAGGGTTTGTCTGTGTGTGTGTGTGTAACTCGGCATCCGGTCGTCTAGGCGGGAACTATCGTGGACTGAGCTTGGGTTCACCTCGCTTCCCGCCAATTCTTTACTCTCATCTCAACAATATACTCACATGGGCATTCGCATCCCGCCAATTTTTTTTTTCTCTTTTCTCCTCGACAAAATACTAACATTGGCACTTGCACCTAACGTTAGGAAAAGCTATTCTCTTTCGCAGAGAGCACAATTTTAAGCATTTTAAGATATTTTCCGGAGATTTTTTTAGCGACAAATTTAGCCACCTCCGAACAACCTCCCCCCAGGATTTAATTGAAACGGCTCTCTCGAGACAGAAAAAATTTAATTGCAAGGAAAAGGTAGTGCACAGAGATCAAATTTCTGGGGGAGGGGAGGGGTCTGGCTCCTATTTTTCTACGAGCCTGAGTCTTTCCAGCAAAAAGAGAGGTTTC